CTAAATTTTAGGAAATTAAAATTTGAATTTCAACTCCATTACAATAGTTGATTATTCAATCTTATTATATATTTATCTATAGAATATATAATTCAGATCAAATTATTATATATTTTATACATATTCGAACTCAAAAAAGATTATTAAATAAAAAATAAAGTTATATTCAAATAATTGAACAATATAGTTGAATTTAAATTCGAATTAAATTCTGGTCAAAATATGATCGATTCACATGCTTAATTATACATTATTTAGCATACCAAAATCTATTTTTCAGTCTCATATTTTTACTTTTCTTCAATACAAATATATCACATGTAAAGAGTTTTTATTTTTTATTTTTTTCATTTTTCAAGTAATAATCATAAATCATTCAAAATAAATTTTTTATGACTCAGGATCAATTTTGACGTAATAGGTACCATGGGTAGCGAAATTCATAACTTTTTTTAGGTTAATTATAATTGAGGTGTAAGTTACAACTATCCATCCCAAAAGATTACGATCATGAACAAATTTATTTTTAAATATCAAGTTATAATTCACCAATTATAAATTTTAAGTAGTTCAACTAATTTATGATCAATCATAATATTTTATAATTAATAATAATTATATAATTATAATTTTATCTTCAAAAATAATAATAAAATTTTTTGATATGATACTAATTTTTTTTAATACTTCGCTAATATAATATGGTACTACTCATCATTAAATAAATGGAGAATTACATCTATACCTTCTAAGATTTATCACTTAATCATTCAGACCCCTAAACATTTAAAATATTACAAGTGTCTGTTAGAATATTCATTAATAAATTATACTCAGACCCCCTAAAATTTGATGCATATAATATTTAGACCTCTTAAGTTTAAAATATTATACTTAGACAAAAAATACTTTAATTAAAGATAGAATATCAAATATTTTAAATTTTATAATAAAAATTCATGTTCTATTATATCATTTATTGATATAAAATCAAAAATAAAAATCTATTTTTTTTAAAAAAATAATAATTAGTATACAATTATACTAAAAAAATAAAACTAAAAAAATAAATAAGATATCAAACTGTAAAGCACACAATATCTTCTACATTTAATTGGGGTAGTATGGTCGTTTAATAGATATTTAGACCCTTCAAGTTTAAAATATTATACTTAAATAAAAAAAAATACTCAAATCAAAGATAAAATATCAAATATTTTAAATTTTACAATAAAAATGTATGTTCTATTATATCTTTTTTTGATATAAAATGAGAAATAAAAATATATTTTTATTGAAAAAATTATAATTAGTATATAATTATACAATCTATTGAAATAAAATTAAAAAAAATAAACAAAAAGTCAAACTGTAACAAACACAATATCTTATAATTTTAATTGAAGTAGTTTGACCTTTTAATAGACAGTATAATTGTATATTAATTATGATTTTTTAAATACAAAATTAAATTTTTATTTTTATTTTTATATTAATAAATGATATAATATAACATGAATTTTGGTTATAAAATTTATAATAGTTAATATTTTATTTTTGATTGAATTATTGTTTATTTAAATATAACATTTTAAACTTAAGGGGTCTATATATTACACACTTATAAAGTTTGGAAGGTTTGAGTATAATTTCTTAACAAATATTATAACGAACATTGATAACAGGAATTTAAATGTTACGTATGTATAAATTTTAAGGGTAGATATATAATATTTTAAATATTAAAAAATCCAAATATTTAAATAACAAACTTTAAAGGTTCGAATATAATTCTCCCTTAAATTAATAAATGACTCTATATCTCTTTTTCTTTTTTTAGATGAATCTCTCTTTGCTTTAAAAGAAGTAGGCCCCACCAATGGCGGTGCTTTACGCGGTTGAAATCCCACATAGCTTGCTATGGGACACGTGGTCAAACCTTGCGTGCTTTTTGTGGCACCCGGCTGCTTGCACCTTCTAAAAACTTTTCGTCTACTCCGAAGACCACAGTAATTATACTGGCCCAGTATTAGTCGGAAAGGGTGATATTACTAATTATTATTATTAATAAAATATTAAAACAAGATTGATGGTGTGACAGTTATTAAATAAGGTAATTATTAATAATTTTTAAAATAATGAGACTCATTACATTCACGTGATATTTTATAATTAATTGATAATATTAAATATTCATAATATAAAATAAAATAAACTTTAATAATGATCGTTAATTAGGACGATGGGTTTTGTACACATGACAGCGAGTACTGTCATTGTGTAGTCGCAAGATGCTGTTTTTCGTCTTCAATGGGGTGGATGACGTCACTCTCCTACGCTTGAGGTTAATATAGTTGTCACGGCGAAGCGTGGCTTTAGAGGTCGCTTCCAGAAAAAGGTTTTAAGTAAATTTTCAAAAATAAATGTTGAAATTACTGAATTATCCATGATGTGTAGTATAACTATAACTTGCCCTTTTTCATCCTTTCCCCACGAGAGGAGAGAGAATATTCAATGGAACGACGTTATCATATCATTATTATTACGTAATATTATTATTTAATTAAAAAATAATAATTAAATACATTGAACTCTATTATTTTAATAATTATCCGTAATTACTATATCTAATTAGTAAGTAGAGTTCATTTTATTTGTTTGTTATTTTTTTAATTGAATGATATTATGATAATACTACGTGATATTGATGACATGATATTACTGTTATATTCAATTATTTCTCTACGGGAGGATTATCGCTTTTGCTTTTGAATCTTAAAAATGCAAAGTCTAAACCTCTCGTCCCATTAATAGTGCATGACTCAAAAACAAAAATCATAAAAATAACAAATAAATCTTAGCATAATGAACATCCACTTGGATAACAAACAAATTTAAGAAAAAATATTAGGTGCAATCGTTACACCATGTCAGCAGTGTCACATAGTATGACGATTTATTTATTTATATAATAAAATAACTTGCAATTCAAATTTCAAACGATAAACAAAATAATTTTTGTTTTTTGCGGTTCAGATCTGTTTAAATTTTACTTTAAAGTTAATGTAACGGCTAATATTAATATTCTAAATTTAATAGAAAAAATAGGCCTCTAATGATGTATTTGGAGTGACTTTTTAAAAATATTTTTATGAATTATTTTTCATAAGTATTTTTAAAAAAATAGTGTTTGAAACCGCTCTACCACTAACTCTACCACTGTTGTCGCCACTGACACAATTGCAGCCACTACCATCACTATCACAATCGCAGCGCCCACCACCACTATCGCCGCTTCCGTCGCTGCCACCACGGTAATTACCACTCACCACAACCATCAATGTTTCCTACCACCACCATTATCGCCCACCACCTCTCATCCCCATTACAATCGATGCTTAAATTCATTTATCTCTCCTCTATGTTTATGATTTGATTGTGAATATGAATATGAATATGTTTATTGTTTATCATTTTTTATTATTCTGTGCCTTCAGACACAGACAATAACAAGTAGATAAATAAGTTAGCAAATAAATCTCCCTAAAACTCATAATCAGCCAACCATATAAATATATATCTAGGGCGGGGAAGTACTACAATAATCTATTGGGATAGTTGAGATATCAATAAAAAAAATAAAAAAGTCTTAATATATTTGATGTTCTTAATGCTAGATTTTCTTTGAACGAGTTTCTCATTGCTAGATCAATGACAATAAATTCAAGATAAAGGAAGGAATTTTTTAATTAACAAAATGCCATGTCCAATGAAAGGACTATGTTGGTTGAGACACGAAAGCAATCGATCCCATAATCTTCAAAAATTAACGTTTGTACCATCTGAGATTTATGCATTAATATTTTAATTATTATTTTTATATATCTCCTTCCATTTGAAAGATTTTAGGAAATCTGATTCCCATAATCTAATCCTCTTCTTATGACCTTTTTTTTTTTAATATTATTTGAAAATATATTCCTGAATAATTTTTTTTGGGGGTATGAATAATTCTTTATTAATCATAATACTTGCCTCTTTTCAACTAAAATGAAATGATCAACCCTAAAATAAAATGAATTTTTTGGGGTCGAGTCACGAGGAATTTATTTTTCATTAATACCGTAATCTCGATTAAATGAACTATTTTTGACCGGACTAAATAGAGAATTAGTCGAAATACGAGTAAACTAATCTGAATATTCTGACGATTGAACCAAATTTTTTTTTTGTTACCAAACATGGGCACCAGAATAAATTGAAAAAAAAAAAAAAGAAATAGGCCACAAGCTTTTTGTTTTTGTGTAACAATCAATTACATGTGACCATAGGTTTTCAGAAAAGATGTTGCTTAGTTGACCATGACACTCTTTATGATTCATCCACTTATGGTCTTTGTCCCATTATTATATTTCAATGTCTTTGCTTTATAGAGGCTGTGACATTTCTATAGTCTCAATAAATTTATGAAAAACTTTATACTTTTATTATTTTTTTGATTACCCAAATGAAGAGAGAGAAAAAGATTGGGGGATGTATTAATATGTTGATTAAGTAATCTAATATTAAAGGAAGGGTAAGATAGTAAATTCGACGAAGGGCAATCGGAGTCCAGGCAGCACTGAGGGAGCCGTTGAGGGGCGTAGGTGATGACGTGGCTTCCTTTTCGGATAAGTAAAATACTCGTCACACTACCCGATCCCAAACACGCTCTTTACATTCTCATAGACCAAAGCAAAGCATAAACCAAACCAAACCAAACTCTAACTCTCTCTCTCTCTCTCTCTCCCTCCTCCGCGCGCTCACACAAACACACAGCGATTACAGAGCCGTCGCGACCTTTCTTGAATTCAATCGAATCTCTCTCCCAGTATTTATTTGTATAAACGTGTATATATATCTGTATAGTGTATTGGAATTGGTTGATCGTAATTGTTGATGAAGTGATCGTTGTTGGTATATTTTTTTTCGGTTTCGAGTTGTGATTGTGAATTGATTTGATGGAGGTGAGAGTTGAGTCGCTGGATAACGGTAAAGTGNATTTTTTTTCGTTTCGAGTTGTGATTGTGAATTGATTTGATGGAGGTGAGAGTTGAGTCGCCGGATAACGGTAAAGTGGCCGGAATAGCAATGGATTTTCCGGCGAGTGACGATGCGATGTCGTCTTCGCCCTCTAGATTGCCGCGGAGGCTTCTTCGGAGGCTTTCGGAGACCAAAACGAAGTCACCGTCAAGTGTTGAAGAAATCGAAGCCAAGCTTCGTGACGCGGATCTTCGTAGACAGGTCTCCTTTGACTTTTTTTTCCCATATGCTTGTGATTAATTGTGATTACATACTCTATTTGGCGTGATTGTGAGAAGTTTCTTTACTTTGTGTTTTTTTTTTGTTAAAGCTTCTGTTTGAAAGTCCAGGAAAAAAGGAAACGCGTAAAAGAATTGAGTTTTTTTTTTCCGTTTTCTAATATGAAGCACTAGAACACGCAACTAAACTAAGCTGCAGAATACTGACCAAAAAAAAAAAAAGCTAAGCCGCAGAATTGTGTTAGGTTCAGTTTAGTTGAGATACTCTGAGAATTAGATGTTTTTCATGTTTGTTTCTTTTCTATTAAATTTCACGAGTTAAATAACGTTTGGTAGGAACAAATTTTTTGATTTGTTATTTTCCTTTTCGATTATTTCTCGTGAGCCAAACAATGTTTGTTTTGGTGTTTGTGGGTTTTGGAATACTCTTTGTTTCAATCGCTTTGAAAATTTTGTCTTTGTGTTGAAGGTTGTTTCTTGTGTTAGGTGGGGAGTGGGTTTGGTAATTTTCCTGTTTGAATTTTCGTTCTGCACTTTTGCAAGTCCTCTCTCTCTCTCTCTCTCTCTCTCTCTCTCTCTCTCTCTCACACACACACACACACACACACAGTGCTCAGATATCTACAATCTTAAATAATTCCCTTTACGTTCATATGAGTTTTATTTACTCGACTGTTTTTCGTTTTTTTGTGTGGGAGAGGCCAGAGGGGATTACTTTGAAACTTAATCTCAAGTTAGAGTGGTTGATAATGTTGTTCAGAGGATCCTTCTGTTGCCAGATTCCCCCCCCACCAACACCAAAAAAAAAGAAAAGAAAAGGAAAACATGGCTGAAAGTTATACTTCTAAATGATTTAATGCAGAAATTCTATGAGCACTTGTCCAGTAAGGCCCGGCCGAAGCCAAGGAGCCCCTCACAATCTTCATCTCAGGAAGAAGACCTTGGTCAGCGTCTTGAGGCAAAGCTTCAAGCTGCTGAACAAAAAAGGTAAAATTTTTTTTGAATAATTTGGACCATAAAACTATTCTTGACTTGGTATCAACCTAATCTTCTTATTCTAAATTCAGTGTTTTTTTCAGCCATGCCACTTATTGCTATAACAGATCTTCTCACTTGATGGCCTTTACTGCATCTGTTTCTATTAGCATCAACAGCTTTATTACCGTCTCCTAGTCCCTTTTCAAAATGTTAAAAACTTTGATTCAATCATTTCCCACTAGTTTTTATGCTCATTTCTGACTAACATTTGTAGAATCATTCCAAAAAAGAAAAGAAGGATAAAAATTAAAACACAAATTTACCTTTGTAGTGTTGATATTTCCATCCATGTCAACATGTTAACTCCTGCATAAAAATACTTTTTAGCTTTAACAATTGGATTTAATCTACGATATACTTTTTGCAGTTCTGAAACAGAAGCATATAAATTGATATATACAATATTTTATTCTCCTACTTCCTTTCCAGAATGGCTGCTGACATTATTTTTTCTAATGTTCTCTTTCAATGTCCACTAGGCCTTCATATGTAGCATTTTGGGGAAAATGTGGTTTGCACACATGCGCTTGCTTTTTTCAATTTGCTTACTTATTGTGTTAAAAAAAAAAAATTGCTTACTTATTTGATAAGAATACATTATGGTAAATTTATGGGGCATGAAACTATAATTTATTATGGGTCTGGTACTTTCTAATGCTTGAGAATGCGGAAGTCAACTGTAGTAATTTTTTGACTTTGAAGACAGCTGGTAGAATGCCTGACGTAGTACTCATTAATGATCTCTGATATTGTATATGACAGTGATGCATTTTGTTGTTGAAATATCAGGTTGAGCATTCTGGCAAAGGCTCAGTTGCGCCTAGCTAAGTTGGATGAGTTGCGGCAAGCAGCAAAAACTGGGGTAGAAATGCGTTTTAAGAAGGAACGTGCAGAGCTCAGTACGAAAGTGGAATATCGAGTTCAGCAGGCGGAGGCTAATAGAATGCGTATCCTTAAGGCTTACAGGCAGCGGAGGGCCAAAGTAAAGGAGAGGACATCTCAATCAATAGTAAGACGGATGGCTCGAGAGAGCAGGTACAAGGAGCGCGTGCGTGCTGCAATTTCCCAAAAGCGTGCAGCCGCTGAGAAAAAGAGATTGGGATTGCTGGAAGCAGAGAAGAAAAGGGCACGCGCTAGGGTGTTGCAGGTGCGAAAGGTAGCCAAGTCTGTCTATCACCAGCGAGAGATCGAGAGGAGGAGAATGAAAGAGAAGTTGGAAGACAGACTACAAAGGGTATGGACATGATTTCAAGTTGTTTAACCTCTTTTAGCCAATGCTGTTATTATCATTTGTTTTCCTTTTTTCTTGGTGGCCAATTTATTATGATTTTTACTTTCTCACATGTGGAATAAAATGATATGTAGGCAAGAAAGCAGAGAGCAGAATATCTGATGCAGAGGGGAAGGTTGCCTAATTATGTTCGTGCTCCTTGGAGTAAGATGCACGAGAAGGCGGACCTTCTTTGCAGAAAATTAGCAAGGTAGGTAAATATTTAAGAATGATGGATTTCATGCTTTGGGGAAGTTTCAACTCATTTTTATCAAACTTATGAATTTGGAAGTAGTTAAATAAATACATACTTTTTGTGTGACTGATTGTAAATAAACTATTAAATGCCATTGTAGCTTTTTGCATTTTTGAGTTTGGACAAAATCTTGTTTTACTTTCTATCTAAAATGCATGTATTTGAGGGATGTGTGGTCAGACTTTTTCAAACTTCCCCTTGGGCTGGGTGATCTTTCTTCTTCAGTGTTGTGCAATNTTTGGACAAAATCTTGTTTTACTTTCTATCTAAAATGCATGTATTTGAGGGATGTGTAGTCAGACTTTTTCAAACTTCCCCTTGGGCTGGGTGATCTTTCTTCTTCAGTGTTGTGCAATACAACTTTAATTTACCATATCAAAATGGTGTTTTGTAGGTGTTGGAGACAGTTCCTTAAACTGGGGAGAACTACCTTAGATTTGGCAAAAGCTTATGATGCTCTGAATATTAATGGGAGGTTTGTGAAGACAATGCCATTTGAGCAGCTTGCTTTTCGGATTGAATCAACTGCTGCTCTTCAGACTGCAAAAGCTTTATTAGACCGCCTTGAGATCCGCTATAGACTGTCACGGGCTGTTGCTGCTACCACTAATCCTCCTTCTTGGGATGACATAGATCACCTTCTCAAGCGAGTTGCTTCCCCAAATAGGAGGGCTACACCCAGGAAATCTTCCCATGGCAGAAACTTAAAGAAATCAGGGTCCCTCAGGGAAGCGGCCAAAACTCCGGTTAAATTGCCGAGGTACCAGGTGAGAGTTGTGCTTTGTGCTTACATGATACTGGGTCATCCCGATGCAGTTTTCAGTGGTCAAGGAGAGCGCGAGTTTTCTCTTGTAAAGTCTGCTGAGCAGTTTGTTCAAGAGTTTGAGTTATTGATCAAGATAATATTAGATGGACCCATACTGAGTTCTGATGAAGAGTCTGACCCTGCATTGACCAATCAGCGGACCTTTAGGTCTCAGCTTGCTGCTTTTGATGCAGCATGGTGTTCCTTTTTGAATAGTTTTGTGGTGTGGAAGGTTAAGGATGCTCGGTCACTAGAGGAAGACTTGGTTAGAGCCGCTTGCCAGCTTGAACTATCTATGATTCAAAAGTGCAAGCTGACCACCCCAGAGGGAGATAGTGGTCCCCTTACTCATGATATGAAGGCTATCCAGAAGCAGGTTTGCTCCTAGCTTTCATTCTTCTTAGGGAATTGGTAAACTTTTTAGCTAACGAAACAAATGGCTAAGTAGTTTTTTCTTTCTATTTTTCCTACTGGATGTTTGGGTGTTTACAAAACATAAATTTGCAGTTTTACCATTATAGAAATAAATAATATGCTTGATCATATTTAGGAAATGTTTTTGCGGTGTGGCAGAATTATTGTTTGCCTCAACTTGCCTCTTAAGATTGTGATGAGATTCCAGTTTTGCTAATATAGTCTGATCAAGCATTTTTTACAATCTTCAGAGACAGTTTGGCTAATATACTCTGACCAAGCTTTTGTAATCTTTAGAGATACATTTTCTTAGCCCTCAAAACAAAATAATACATTTGCTCTATGTATAAATGTGGCCAGTCGTCAACATTGAAATTCCTGTGATACAGGTCATGGAAGATAAGAAACTTCTGAGGGAGAAAGTGCATCATTTGAGTGGAGATGCTGGGATTGAACGCATGGAATATGCTCTTTCAGACACCCGAACTAAATACTTTGAGGCAAGGGAGAATGGAAGCCCAGTGGCATCGCCGATCAGACACGTCTTATCTGCCAGCCTACCTAGTTCCCCAGCTTCCCCTACTGCTGTTGCTGGCTCAGATAAAAGTAGTACTGGAATTGAGGGTAGCGAGAGGACAACCAGCCGTGTAGTTCGCTCGTTATTTAGAGATGAAGCTTCTTTCCCACTCAAAGAAGCTGCTTCGTCTTCTACTAGCAGCAGCCAGTACCAATATTTTGGTGAGAAGTTGGAAATGGAGAATGAATTAATTGTGAATGAATTTGTTCATGGGCGGGGCCCTATGTTATTTGATGGCTTTAATGATGCTGAAGAAGATCAGAACAATATTAAGGTCCGTGAAGTTTCTAATTAGTTAATATTTTAGTTCCTTGGGAGAAAAGGTTTAAGCTAAATTTATAATCATCTCTATGTAGATGACTACTGTGCATAGAAGAATTGGAAGTTGATAAACACCCCAAAATGTTATCAAAAGAATCGAAAAACAGAATTGATATTTTTTTTCTTCAGCCTCAAATTGAAATTGAATAAACTGATTTAATTGCTTACTTATTGTGTAGGCAAGGGTAAGGGAAACAATGGAGCAGGCTTTCTGGGATGGCANCAAAAGAATCGAAAAACAGAATTGATATTTTTTTTCTTCAGCCTCAAATTGAAATTGTATAAACTGATTTAATTGCTTACTTATTGTGTAGGCAAGGGTAAGGGAAACAATGGAGCAGGCTTTCTGGGATGGCGTCATAGAATCCATGAAACAGGATGAACCGAACTATGGCCGCGTTGTTGAACTTTTGAGGGAAGTGAGGGACGAAATTTGTGAGATGGCTCCTCAAAGCTGGAAAAAAGAAATTATTGAAGCTATTGATCTGGACATTCTTTCTCAGGTAGTGTTTTCTGATTAATAAAACTCCTGTTGCTACCAAGATTTGTAGTCATTGTTGGCAGTTGAACTAGATGTTGATTCTGTTATCTTTCTTCCTCATTAGGTGCTGAATTTGGGTACACTGGACATGGATTATCTTGGAAGGATTCTGGAGTTTTCACTGGTTACGTTGCAGAAGCTCTCCGCTCCAGCTAACGAGGATGCACTAAAGGCAGATTATCAGAAATTATTGAAAGAACTAACCGAGATATGTCAGGCTAGAGATAGCTTGGATAAAACAAATGTCATCGCATTGATCAAAGGGTTGCGCTTTGTGTTAGAGCAGATTCAGGTGTTTGTCTGTGCTCATTCTCTCTATATTCCATTCTGTTGCATACATAAATCAGTGTCTGCTGCTCTGCGTTAAGACTTCTGTGGAGGAACTGTGGCATTTAAGAGTGTTAGCATAATTGGGATAAATATTAGATGTAGACAGAACTGCTTATCTAGAACAGAAAAACATGTCGGGATTTTTATATACATGAGAAAAGATGTCATGATAATGATGATGATGGNGTGTTAGCATAATTGGGATAAATATTAGATGTAGACAGAACTGCTTATCTAGAACAGTAAAACATGTCGGGATTTTTATATACATGAGAAAAGATGTCATGATAATGATGATGAAAAAATGGGAATGGATAAAATGAACTAAGTGGTCAAGAGTTTGTCATCCTTCATGATTCAGTGGTGATAAATGTTTGAAATCAAACTAGGAACTGCACAAATAATAATAAGATATTATGAATTATCAGCCCCATTGCACATCATCATTGGTAAAGGAAGCATGTTAGGATATGTACATGTGCATTTCTTTGTAGGCTGCAACTCCTACGTGCAATATATAATGTAACAGGTGTTTTTTGTGGCAGGCACTCAAGCAAGAAATTAGCAAAGCCCGCATGAAAATGTTGGAACCATTATTGAAGGGTCCTGCTGGCTTGGATTATTTGAAAAAATCTTTTGCCCACCGTTATGGACCTCCCTCTGCTGGCTTGACTGCTCTACCTCTGACAATGCAGTGGCTTTCATCTGTGAGTGATATTAAAGACCAGGAATGGAATGAACACGTGAATGCACTCTTAAAGTTGACACAGAGACAGGAAAGTTTACCTGAGCGACTTCTTCCTTCCACCACCCTTAGAACTGGCGGAAGTGTCTTGACCAAAATGAGTGAAAGCCAACCAAGCCCATCAGTTCAAGGAGTAGATAATCAACATCCGCAATGCACAGGAGAAAACGTTGATTTGTTGGTGAGGCTTGGCTTATTGAAGTTGGTGAGGGGCGTATCTGGTCTGACGCAAGGATTGTTGCCTGAAACTCTGAAGCTCAACCTCTGTAGGTTAAGGGATGTTCAGGCCCAACTTCAGAAGATCATTGTAATTGCCACCAGGTAAGTCATACTGGATTTTACCCTCTTTCTTTCCCACTTTCTGATGGGATTTAATAGTACGTTATCAGCAGCAAACAAATGATTAGTAACCCAGTCAGTTAAACAGAAATGGTGTATTTCTTCCATCACCCTCGTGCCCCCATTTGAGCCGCATACACCACCCTGCTGGAGGAGAGAAAAATGGGGGTGCGGTGGTGATCAAATTTTAGAGTAAATATTCTATACAACGTTCATACCAAGTGATCTGGTATATGACCACCGACAGTTCCAACACTTCCTGTGAACCTCACATATAAATATGTGATGGTTATTGGAACATGTTGAATGCAGTAGTTATTCCATGTGTCACTGATAGCGTGTTCCCATCTTATTTTGAATATCTACTCCAAATTGAGTCATGTCTTGAATGAATGGGAACTGGAATCGGGGACCATCAATGTTCTATCATGTCTTCATGTCCATACATACTCATACATCTTCTCTGTTTCATGTATATGTGCAGCATTCTAGTTCTGAGGCAGACTCTTATCAGTGAACAAAAGGTAGGCAGCCTTGCAGTGATGGAAAGCATGGTATTGACCTGTGCCAAACAACTGTCCGAGCTCCTTGACACTGTTGAGGATGCGGGTATGAAGGAGATCATGGAGATACTCAGCAAAGTGACAGAACATGTCGACAAACCCATGGATCCCGTGAAACTTCAGTCAAGGAAGGATGTTATGTCCAGAATGTTAGCAAAGAGCTTGCAAGCTGGGGATGCTGTTTTCACTCGGGTGTCCCATGCAATATATTTGGCTCTAAGAGGAGTGGTACTTGGGGGTACTGGGACAGATGGAAGAGAATTGGCGGAGATGTCACTGCGGCAGGTGGGGGCAGTCATTCTAATGGATCGTGTGGTGGAAGCTGCAACAGTATTGTTGGTGGCAGCTACCGTGTCGAGTGGTGTTCATGGGCCGTGGTATGCACAGTTGATAGAAAACATGTGAAGGAAGGACAATGCTGTTATTCTTGGTTCTTTGGGTACAGTGTATATGGTAGGTAGGGGACTGTATCGTGTAATAATCACTCATGAATAAAGTAGAAATTGTAAATAATTATTGATTTTATGTAATAAAAGGATTATTTTCTGTTGGGATTCAGTTTCCTTGTTTGCATTGCATTTTGGTAACAACCAGGATAAAGTTGGTTTATGTATGGCTACTCGTTATAATACATTATTTTCCACTTGTCATGGGGCTGTGTATAGAGTAAGATTGGTTTAGTCAATAATGGGATAAATGTGGGAGGTTCTAAATTGTACATACGACTTGGTAGAGTTCCATTTAAAATGATACCATACATTTTGATTTTTGATATCAATAAATGTTGCAATGTAAATTACAAGTCTCACTCGACTCGTAGTTTGACTTAAAAATATTGTGACTTGTTTGAATTATTGAATCATTAGATTGATGTCATTATGTGAGGTGTGAGGTTAATTTCTTGTCCCGTTCAATTAGTTATGTTTTACATTTCGTATATATCACTTGATATGTCACAACTAAATCGTCCCATGTCATCTGAGTCGGTGACGATATGACATGGATAATTAAAATGCGGAAAAGTGATTTCATAATGTGTTTAATTATCTATTTAAGAGCATCTCCGATGGAAGTTCAATATTTACTCAAATTTATGTAAAAATAATTTGAATAAAAAGATTGATTTTGTACATATTACTCTAATAGAGAAACTTAAATATTTACTCAATTCTTTTAAAAAATTTCAATATTTTTAAAAAATTTCAATATTGTCACAAAAGTTCATCAACAATGGCAGGAAAAATCCTAAATTGCTGAAAATCAATGAAAGGGATTCTCCCAGTTGCACAAAGATCCCACACACTTGGGCAGTCGATGAAGGGGATTCCACCGGTTGCACAAAAGTCATAACCAAGTAGAAAAAACAGAAAAAAAAAATTAAAAAATTGAAGGGGATTCTACTAGTTGCAACAATGGGTAAGGTAAGAGTTTATACCAAAACAAATTTTGAAGGGAAGAAGAACGATGGGCGGTCGATGTCGTCGTTCCTGGCTTCTAGTGGCGTTGAAAATCTAGAGGCGTTGAAAGGAAGAAGTTTGTTTGGCGAAGGCGTTGAATCGAAGAGAAAAAGTAGCCGTTGGATATTGATATAGAGTTCGGGTATCCATCAATTTGGGTTCAAAAAAGATTTTTTTTCTTAATTTGATANTTGTTTGGCGAAGGCGTTGAATCGAAGAGAAAAAGTAGCCGTTGGATATTGATATAGAGTTCGGGTATCCATCAATTTGGGTTCAAAAAAGATTTTTTTTCTTAATTTGATATAAGTTTAAGTCAAAAATTAGAGTAATTTTTTTGAATTTTTTTTCTCAAATTTTAATTTGAGTTTGAATTTGAGTCAAAGTTAAAAATGCCCTAAGCGATTTTATAACAATTTTATAACTATCTATTTAATACTATAGGTTTTTTTTAATTTTATAATTAAAAAATTGAATTCTGAATTTATAAAAATTCCAAAATTAGAAATTATGCAATTTTCTTCTACTTGATTCAACCAACACTCACATCTACTTCTCACTTTCGTATTACTCTTTTCACTTTAATTTTAACATATTAAAAAATTATTATTTAAAATATAATTACTACTCAATCAATACTCAATTTTTAATATAACATAGTATTTTTAGATACGAGACTATTACTAGTCTATCTAATATTATAGTTGAAAAGTTAAATTCTCAACTTATAAAAACACAACAATCAAAATTGAACCAATTAAAAAATATTATTTTCTTCACGACCTCCAATATCAATTCCACACCAGTGTTTCTCTTCTCTCTCCCCTGCCTTTCTTATTTTCTCTATGTTCACTTTAATTATTAATTGTATAGTTAAATAAAAATAAATTACTATTTAAAATATAATATTACACAATCAATGCTCAATTTTTAATATTACAAAGTATCTTCAAGCACAAATTTATTACTAGTCCCTCAATATAATTTAATAAATACTTCATGTAAAAATTAGAGTCACTTTATTCTTTTGGTTCTTTCTTATTGAATAGTGACACGTCACAATGATGACATTGTGAATATTTACTCGTTATTAATCAAACTTTCCATCCCACCTACACAATATGCAATAAACTCGTACAAAAAGTACATCTTTTCCCAAATGAACAGAAAAAGGAAACAAAAAGAGAAGGTGCTCCCATATACATTGACTTGTACCAGTACATACTGATCCAAGTTTTTGACCAAATGACACCCAACTTACTATTCAAATTCCCTAGGCTAAAGTAGATATCTATAGAAAGATACAGACAAGCTGCAAGGTAACAGCACCAATCCATATAATCACCAAGTTCCAAGATCCATCCCAGAATTGAAGGGGGAGACGTGGTGCAATCGTGCAGAAGCTAGCAGTTCAAAAAAGTCACCTTTGGATGGCAGCCAACTCCCTCACTTGTTGGAAACGTCTTCGTCGGAGATAGAGGCCGGCCAAATATAAGATGAAAGAGAGAACCATAGCAGAGTAATCAAAAACATCTATGATAGTCAGATACCCTGCAGAACAGCAGAGAGAACTTGATTTGATGTTAAATGCAACAAAATGATGTTAGATGCAACAAAGTGATGCATAAGATTTCAGGGGAAAAAAACCAGGTCGCTTAACCAATATCAGACAGGAAAGAATGGTTGTCAAGCAATATGAGTGGAGCAAGGTTCACGACACTGGTGCTAGTAAAGTCTTGGTAGTCATACCAAAAACTCGAGGATCAAGTCCCTACAATCAAATTTCAGCATATGGTGTGCATTCTTGCCTAGATTTTTTTTTCGGTTTTTGGTTTGTTGCGGGTTTACTTGTTTGGGTTTGAGTTTGGGGCATGGAGCAATTCTATGGCCAAAAGGGAGGGCACAATTTGAAACCTGGGGAAAAACCAAAACAAGCACAATGAACCCAAATGAACTTGGTCCAGAAGATCAAACACCAAATGTTCACCAATGAGAATCAACAAAAAAAAATGATTTTTTCACCTCATAAATGACATAATTATAGGGCATATTCCTAACTTAAAAGAGGGTCCAAGAAACTCGTTCAAACTTCAATCATCTTATTTTTTTCTCTTTTAACAATAAACATGACCACAACAAAAAACCATGAGCAAAATCACCATTCTTTTCTTAATTCGAAGATCGAGGCAAAATACCTGTTGGAATGAAGTCAAAGGGGCTGATTGCGTAAAGGAAACCCAAAAATATCTGCAAACAAGAAAGACAACTATGAATTGCTTCAACAAATAAGGTTCATGAGGCAAATGTCTATATTTGAAACAGTAATGCCTTAAGAGTAGTCAGAGTACATGAATAGAGTAGTTTGTTACAGCCAAAATATGATACAGTGAAGATTACATCCTCACAAAATTTACTTAATTGAATATAGGCATTACATGGTACATATTCATCTACAATTTGCTCTAGAGGGTTATGTAACCAGTTGGATTGGAACAACTCTATGAGCTGATCATGTTACGAGCATAAATACACTTATCATGAACAGATCAAGATGCTACTAACAGTACAGCAGGTCAAATACTGTAAACAGCAGTCGGCAAACCCTCCCCACCCCTAAAATATACACATATATGAGTATGTATGTAAAAGCTCAATCGTAATCCGACAGGTGGTGAACACTAATCCGGTAAAACACCAACCATGTTTCCACTAGCTTTCTCGTATTTCACTGTTAATTCCCAGGGCTTGAAGACAACCCAATTGATATCTCTTTCAGAATCCTCACCAGGTTTGAAAATCTTATCAACTATCATGACAATGCACAAAGTACTCTAGGACAAAAAATTCCATCCAAACACAAATAAGAATTTAGAAATTCCAAATACCTGCACCTCACAAATTCCAAGAAACTCAAAATTCAAAACATATGGATGTGAATCACTGAATCACACCACAACTGATCAGTCCAAAAAGCCTAGGAAATAAAACCACCTTGATTCACAACATATTACATATTTTCTAGGTGCATTAGAACACCTAGGAAATAAGACCACACAAACACTGAGCAATCCAAAACAAACACGACATAGAGACTGACAAATTATAAACAAGCACGCACGCACGCACACGTCCATAAATCATTGTGCACAAATACTTCTTGTTCATAGCGGACACCGAGATGGCTGCTAGTCCTAGAAAATTTAAGGCCAACAGGAAAACTGAAGTATAAAAAAACGAAATGGTAATGTATTACATTCGATTTCATCAACTGTTAGATGAACTTAACTGCAAGCAGGCGCAAGTTTTTGAGGTGAGCACCAGGTCTATCAGGATCCATCATTTCACAAACTATTCTCTTAGTGACCAATGGCAACTCAAGCACTTTCTGGCAAAAACAAAAGGAAGAGAGAATTTAAATACAAAGGAAAGATAATCATGCAGTCATGAAATGCTGAACGCATTTGTGAGACAATCAACAAAGACGCAGGCATGAGGGTTGGGATCAAGTGACAATCCAAAAAACTGTGAGCCTATATCATCCAACTAAATCGTTCTGAACATTCATACTAAAGATGGATAGTCAATCAAAAAAGTTTGCAGTTACTAACCTTACTCCATGCAATCAAAGATCAATGAAAATTTTTGCAACCAGCTGGCACTCCCAGTTTGTTAATTATTTTAGATAAGACAAACTTATCAATTATGACACTAAAAAATACAGGAGAATCAATTTTAAATTATGGACAGATCAATTAAAGTAATTATAAAACAAAAAAACGAAGGGCAGCCAAGTACACGAGGTTCGCCCAGAGTTTGCAGAGAGTCAAATGTATGCAACCTTAAACCAGCATGCCAAGATATTGTATCCACAACTCGAACCCTTAACGCCCAGATCACAATAGAACAACTATATCGCAATAGAACAACTATATCGCTATACCAAGACCCACCCAACTATTGTAAAACAGAGATCATAATTACTAAAAAAATACAACAAATATTCCAAGTATCTTCAAGATTATTGTTGTCGTTTTAACCACTACTCGGACATATGAATAGAAAACAAATCACCCATTCATATTCTTTGGATATTCCAAAAGCTCCTTTTAAACAATAATTTTTAACTACTGATAACCACACTTGGGTATATGCTGGAACCTAAAGCAATATATGATTAAAGTTTCAGCAAAAATCTATTGACCCTGGTAGTGACAGAAGGAGACATGATATGATAGCACTCCAAATTTACAACAATTCATTGATTGGTGCAAATGTGCCTGAACATAAAAGCTAAAGTAGATAAAGGGCTAGTTGCTTTAGTAATGTCCTTATTCAACCCCCGAGCAAATGTTGCATATGATTGTTGGTGGATATCCATATGGCCACATATTTTCAAAATACCAAATCAATACTTGATGATGGCCTTGTGAGTGGCTTTGACTGTTTAATGTTGCAATAAAAATCCCATAAAATACAATCAAAATGTAAAAATAATTGCCCTAGTCACCTAACAAATTAAAAGTGATTCCTCAATCACAAAGTGAACTTTAATGGAAGATCTAAACATCAGGCAAGTACCAAGGTATGTTTTTTTAAAGTAAGGCATTACAGTGATCAGTACCATACCTTACAGGCACAAGCATGCCATAATGGAAGACTTGTGACACGTGACATAAAAAAACATTCACCACCTCAGTAAATTCCAACCAGCCAAGAATAGTGTTCTTTTGTTCGGCCAGTGGTGAAGCAGAAATCATGTTTGGCTGCATGTTAGATTTTGATGAATCATATTTTGTTCGGATGACCTGTTTCTATTTTCTATTTTGCAGTAAAACAGGGAGACACCACCTTCAATGGAACACAAGCAACATGCAAAAAATGCATCCAAATGGCTCCAACTAATCAAACAGAGCCTCCTTACAGCATAACTAGAGGTTTATACACGTGCGGACAAAAAGGGTGGAATGATGAATGAGTGATTACACAAAGCTCGCTCAGATGTGAATATTTTATAAAAGCTTAAAAGCAGGTCATGTCAACCCACCACAATGTGGCCATAAATGCCTCCAACAAAAAGGCGATTATATCTCTGAACATTGCTCAGAATCTCAGTAACCTCCACTTCCGGCTGATGGAATAATGATGCTTCGGGTGTCAAAGTAGTAATCTGCTGAGAGCACATGGGGCACTTGCAAGGCTTAAGTGCTGCAATATGGTTCCAGTACTGCAAAATGCAACCCCCTGTACAAGGAAAAAACCAACTTCAAAATATGTGATTTTTAAACCTGAAAAAATTGAAGACTAACTCTAAAACATACAAATTTGAACCTGAAAAATTAGGAGAATGCCGACTTCATAACAAAGGACTTTGAAACAAAAGAGAAATTCAGTGGCAAGACAAAATGTACAGGTAGTAACTTTCTACATGCAATTGAGTTACAGTACCTGGAAAATGGAATTAGCGCTTCCATTATAATTACTTGAAGAAGGTCATATCCTAGTTGAAAAGTAGCATCTCCCAGAATGCTAAGAATTTGAGGACTGGACCTGCATATAACATGGGAGACTAATCCTTTCCTTACTACAAAATTCCATAGTACAAGGACTTTACCCTGGGGATGGTCTTTCAAAATTTTCGAAAAGTCTTTATTCTTTCTTTTTATTTGGTTGTTGGTGTTTTCTTTTTTTTGGAAGGGGGGGGGGGGGGGGG